TCATCAATATGTCTCAGAAGACTAGTGATGTTTAAGCAGGCCATTTTAAAGCCACATTTGTTAGGAATCACTCACACTATGTTGTTTTTACTCTTCCAGATCATCTGGAAGACTCATGGATACAGACTGAATCTTCCAGTCTCCCATATGGGTCACCACTTTTATTTTCAGGGAAAATGTTTGGAATATTCGCCAATGTATTTTTGTGGTTACTTGGCAGAGTTCTCTTTTAACGATGCTTTTTGGTCAAGAAAGTAAAATTGGCGACATACTTACTTCTTTTTACGTGACGCATGATTGGTAAAAAAATTCTTTGTGATGCATGATTTAATAGAAATATTCAGAGAAATGAGTGATTGGTACCCCCTCCCATTCGCCACCCTCTTAGAATTACAGGTATGGGGAAATGTAGTGGGGTGAGATTTTAAGAACCTCATACCCATGCATGGGACACCCTGATCCCAACAAACCCCTCGATGAGTACCCCTAGGATATTACCCCTGGAATAATAGGTATTGCACAATTAATCTGAGTACATATAGAATGACTGATGTTATTAATTTAAGCTTACATTAAAACTGTTGCACTGTATTCAAAGCAAATACGAAAAAGACTCCAATTCTTCGTAGAATTGACATCGATATACATGGACTAGTAACTCCTTTTAAAAGCGTATTTACTAACACTTTCAAGAATGCTAAATTAAACTCAGCTTAATCATTAGTGACTGTGCTAACATGATTGCAGCTCTAACTGCAACATCTATCTTTCCTGTATGATATTTTTCTCAGAGTGAACTTCTGTTTAGCAGAAAAGAAAAACATTGTTTGCTTTAGGAAGGTGTATAATGTTCAAGAAAACGAAACGAGATCAAAACAGGATAAGATTCCACGATCAATGCTGTTTACGCAGGCCAAAGTGGGCGACGACGAATTACGCATTCGCTAATGGTGAACAGTAAAAAAAATTCATAATTTAAAGAACTTACATGCGGTAAAACAGTGTCCCCTTCGCCTGCATCATCACCCTTTTCGTTCTCAAAGGGATTGAAAGCATCGATGTCGTCCGCCATATTGAATATCGTGATCAAAACAGTCGTTTCGCGTTCGGAAACATTCGGAGGCTGACGAGGTGTTCCGAGTTACCCGATACGATGCGACAATTTATTTTGCTTCCGCCATTTTGCTCCGTGGGCCTTTTTTTTGTGATTTCAGATTTATCCTTATTTGTTGTCTTGATGGCCGAGGTACAGCTCTTGGTTTTGGGGCCAGAAGGGGTAGGAAAGACAGTCATGCTGAAGAGGCTTAAAACACTGACCGCACAGCAGAATTTAGCTCAAGCCCAACAAAAACAAGAACTTGGTGAGGCACCTTCTACCGTCCCAACGATAGGCGTCAATCTGGTCACACTGACACACCATAGAAAGAAATATACTTTCAGAGAGCTTGGAGGAGCAATGGGACCAATTTGGAATAACTACTTCAAAGAAGCAGCCTGTTTGGTGTATGTTATAGACATGGCTAACCAGACTCAAATTGCTTCAGCCTGCATCCAGTTGTTGGAAGTACTCTCTTCAAAACAAACCCAAGAAATGGCGGTTCTTCTGATTTTTAACAAGATCGATTCTCCAGACTGTATGAGTATGAGCGAAATTAGCGCTATAATGAGGCTTCGAGAGGTTCTAGCCAACGCTAGGCAAGACATTACAGTTTTGGAATGCAGTTTTCGCGAGGGGACAGGCTTAGATCGAATTTTAAAGTGGCTACAGGAGAAATGTTGTGTGTCGTCCTTAGCAAAATAATGACAGACAAAACACCTGTGAATAAATTATTTGCAACTTGAAGTTTGTAAATTGATGATGCTGTTTTCTTAAAAATTTAAAAATACTGTAACATTAATTTTTAGAGGCATTGAATGGTACCTGTGATGGGTGGATTTTGAGCCATTTCGGCTCGTTTGTTTTTTGGCATGAATTTTTGTTCAGGTGTCCTCAGAATGCAGATGTTTGGCAGGGCGAAATGCAAT